ATATCTAATCTGGACCATGATAAATGTCTGTTTGAATAAAAAGTATGTTGCTTAATTTTAGCATTTCTTTGTCTCCATATATCTTTTAAATTTAATTCATCTGTCATTTTAAAAAAGGATTTAGGGAGAGTCTTTCTGTTTTGCTTTGTTATTGTTGCTGTATAGTCCAATTTATTGTCCACAATTCCATTAAAATCTTCCATCATAACTATATTGACATAGTCCAGTCCAATTATTTTCATGTGTAATTTTTTGTAGAATTCTTCTTGTTTTTCATTCAGAGCATAAATTGCAATCAGAAGTATTTTCATATGATTATCCATTATTTCCACCATTAATACTCTTCCATCTTCATCGGTATAAATCAATTTTGCTGGGATAGCCTCTTTAATGTATAAAACCACTCCTCTTTTCTTACATTGCATCAAAGAAGTAAATATTTTCCCTAATTTTGGCTGTACCAACAATTGTTCATATTGTTTTTTGATATGTACTTCTTGTAAGCAAATTATATCAAATTTTAATTTCTCTAATTTGTGAAAAATTTTCCTTCTTTTAACAGCTGAATTAAGTCCATTTATATTGATTGTAATCAGTTTTTTCTTTTCCATGGTTATATCTTGTAATTAGGTTTGGCAGCTCTCATAGATCTTGGTTCACATTGTTCTTTGATCTCCACCTGTCCACCTACTGCGCCTTCCTCTTTTTCAGTCCCCATTTGGTCCTCTTGGAATTCAATTAGTGAGACCTCTTTTTCTGCCTCTTCCTCTCTCCTTCCAAAAAATTCTGCGTAGAAAAGTTCTGCTTTCTCAATTGAATCAATTCTATGTCTCTGTTCTTGCCATGTAAACATTAGTCCTTCTGGAATCAACCATCTGTAATTCACCTCCTTTTTCAGTAACATTTTAGTCAGGAGTTGATATTCTCTTCTCATCTCTCTCACTCTTCTAGATATTTGTTTTAAAACCTCCTTGCCTTTATATTTCAACGTCTTCTCTCTTGCCACTTGTAATATTTGTGTTTTAATGGATTTTTTTGTAAATCTGATCTGAACTTCTCTTGGTAAGTTGTTTCTCATCGCATATCTTGTAGAGACTCGGTATACCTCATCTACTCCATCCATCATCTTTTCTTCTGTTATTTCCAAGGCTTCAGCCAGAATTTCTATCATTATCGCAGCTAGGTTTTGACCTTTTTCTTCCTCTGTATTTTGAAATCTGAGATAGAATTCTGACCTGTCCATCTCCCACTTCAGCATCCCACTTTTATCTTGTTCAACCACTGTTAGTCTGCTGTCAATATTTCCAATCTTCTCCTCTCTTTGTTTATCTTCTTCAATTTTTTGGAATCTCTCATCATATTTCACCATCATTTGTTGAATGTTTTCAATTTTTTCATCAGTCTTGCCTGTTCTATGTTCAATATTCTCTGTTCTTTGTTCAATATTCTCTATTCTCTTTTCAATGGTATCTGATTTTGTTTTAATGTCTTTAATGGACAAATTAATGTCTTGGATTCCTTGCATAATCATCTGTAGAGTCACTTTTTCTTGTTCTTTATCTTGCTTTAACATTGTCTGAATTAAGCGTTGACCTCCAGATGGTGGGGAGGCGGAAGTGGAAGTTGGGCGCCAGAAGGTATGAGTTTCCTACTCATTTTGAACATCAAAATCTTCAAATTCAAGTAGCCAATTATAATCCAAAATGGGGGGTAGAGGTGGTAAAAGATAAAAAGCCTAATAAAAGGAAAGAAAAATTCTTCAGGTTCTTCAAGACCTTAATCCAATTATAAAATAGTCAGTTGTAATCCAAGGTAAAAAATGAAAATAAGAAAAAGAAAAAAGCCCAATAATAATAATAAAAAGAATGAGAGAGAAAATTTCTTCAGGTTCTTCACACCTTAATCCAATTGAAAGGTCTCAAAAGTGAAAATAAAAAAACAAAGAAAAACCATAAAGATGAACGAAAAATATGAATGGCAAAAAAGAAAATCCCAATAGAAAAAGAAAAAGGAGAGATTCTGAGGCTTTCCCTTTAAAACAGAAGGCAAAAATAAAAATATTACAAAAATAAAGATTTTTTTTTCTTTTAAGGAGAAAAAAAAAGGAAAAGAGTACAGTAAAACTGGTAAGGAGGGGCGGCACAGCTAAAAATAAAATAAAAAAAGAACACACTGCACTTTGTTTAATTATCCAAGGCTCTTATTAAAAGTCTCTTCTCCACAAACTTCAAAGCTGAACTTCAATTGTTGATAGGAGTCCAGAAGAACACCTGTAATAACACTCTCATGTTCTTCCCTCTATCTTATCAAGTTGCAATGTCCTTGAAAGAGGAATCTTTCACGGTTCTCTCAACTTCAAGTAAAATATTTTCAAGCCTCTAGTTGGCAGTGTTACAAAGTTTCTTTGTTCTCACTCCCCCCCTCCTTTCCCAGATAGAACGTAATAGAAGTTTAAAAAAGGAAAGGATATATATATATATGAAAAAAAAAGATTACTAAAGGGAGCCTCTAATCTAAAAAATTAAAAAATCAAAAAAGAGAAGAAAGAATAAATATATATATGAAAAAAACCAGCCCAGTTAACAAAGCTAAATCGCAATAGAAGTCCAGTAGAAAAAAAAAAGTAAAAAGCCAAGCCTCACTTTGACGTTTCCATTTGAAAACTGCTGCTTACTCAGTTCTGTCAAAACTTTTACAGATTTCCCTTTTTCTTAGAGTGTCCTTTAAGTCTCGGAATAATAGTAAAAAAAAAAAGTTCTCACCCAAGCCGACACACTTTCTTTTTCAGTCTCTTCTGTTCCGGAGCTGTCCCAACTTCAGCAGCTTAATGGCTGCCTCTCAGCCACTGGCAAAAGGGCTTCTCCTGGATCAACCAGGGACTTTGCGATGTCCCTGGGATCCTCAGGATGTGCCCTTCACTATCTCCATCTCTATGGGATGGTTTAGGTCCATTTGGACCGACCAGGGGCTGAGATATTGGCTGCAATCTTGGAGCTTGATTGCAAACCGTACCGTAGCAACGCCAGCTCCGCCCACTTCCCCAAGCCTGATTTTTTTATATTAATCAGGAATCACACTATTTGCATTAAATACTCAAATCACACTGATCAATTAAAACAATAAATCAATTAAATCATGTTAATATCAGATGCGTAATGTGGGTTCCAGACTGATGAACTGTATTCGAGTATTGGTCTAGCAAATGTTTTGTATGCTCTAGTTAGTAGTGTAATATTACCAGAGAAACAGCTATGTAAGATGAGGTTAACAACTCTTAATGCCTTTTTGGCAATATAGTTACGGTGGCCTCTAGAGCTTAGATCATTAGAGATGAGTACTTCAAGATCCTTGACAGAGTTTGGATCATCAACAAGGTCTTGACTATTCAGCCTGTATTTTATTTTCTGATTATTTTTTTTTGCCAGTATGTAGGACAGAGCATTTATTTGTTGAGATTTGAAGTTGCCATTTCTTTGACCCTTCTGATATATAGTCAAGCTCTTTTTGAAGGGTAGCAGTATTGTCTGTGGTGTTGAATGCTTTACATCATCAGCGAAGAGAACGCAGTGGCTCTTGATATGATCACAGAGGTGATTTTATGTAGAGTATGAAAAGAGTTGGTCCTAGAACACTGCCTTGGGGGACACCACTCTTGACAGGTACAGAATTTGATAGGACGCTCCCAATTTTGACCATTTATCCAGAGATACCATCTTGTTTAATGTGATAATTGGTGCATTCAGTTTTTATCTGGTGGCATAAATTTTTGTATCAGCTTTTGAAGTTGGCAATATGACCAGATTTGTTTTTCCGCCAAAGTGATTTCTTTTTGGATTGAAGCTTCCTTATTGTTATGGGTAATTTGTTTTTTCTGGTTTTGGGAGTTGTTAATGGTACATATAGTTTGATGACTCTTTTGACTTCAAGTAAAAATATGTTGTAGTGGTCTTCTACAGTATTGCATCCAGGGAATAGAATTTGCCAATCAAGAGATGAGAGATCATTGTTTATAAGATCATAATTGCCTTTTTTGAAGTTATAATTGGGGATTCCATTATTGTGATGTTTTTTGTGTGGACATATGTTGAGACAAAAGTCTCCTGTTGTGGTCACTGTTGGAAAAGGGTTCTTTAATTTGTATTCCATAAATTGAATTCAAACTATTGCAGAAGATGAGATTGGGGCAGTTTTTAAGTCTAGTGTTGTTGGTTATTAGTTGTTCTAGTCCCAGATTTGTTACTGCATTGTATAAGGTTGCATGTGTGGGTTCAGTTGTACATTCATTAAGGGTCCAGTTAATATGAGGTAAATTGAAGTCACAAAGAAAGATAAAAGCAAAATGCTGCCCATGTTAGTAGTGTATTTAGCTTGCTTGCATGTTCAATGTCATAATCAGGGGCTCTGTAACATAGTAAGAACCGAAATGTGATTTTAAGGACAGTTCACAGATGATGGTCTCAGGAATAGCAAGCTCTTGGGTAACTTGAATGTTTTTTAGAAGTAGGGACTTTTTATAGAAGATAGCAATACCACCTCCTCTATGAATTTCACAATCTGATCGGTAAACATGATAGACTATGTAACACACAAATAAACATCTCAACTTTGGGATCTCTTTATTATTTTAAATCTGAATAAGGATGTCAAAAATAAAACCCAAAAAATAATGGACAATTAATAACTGATGTCCTAAGAATGTCTAAGTACTTCCACCTGCTAAAATTTAAGTAACATATGCTTTTTACAGATATTTTTTTTGAAAAAAGAGGTCCAAAAGCATTTTGTGAGATGGTTCAGAAATCAGTTCAGAAAAAACATGTCCAAAAAGATCCCATAGAGTGTGCATAACTCTTGGGTTTACCCCAACCATCTCTATCCAAAATATTATTTCATTCTAATTACAGTATATATTAATTTTCTAGATGTTATACTTAGGTGTTGTAAGGATTGCCTCTCCTCCTAACTTAAAAAAGTGAAGACTCTTGAAACAAAGTATTTCAAAAGGAACCTTTTATTAAACAGAAGTGACAGCAATACATTCAAAGCAGCATCTGAATACCCTTAGGCAAGACAAGTAGAATTAAAGCAGTAGAGACCCCTCCCTTTAGTCAGATGCAGATTCAGCCAATCCACAAGTGTGAAGATGTTGTTGTACCAACCTCTCTGAGAAATAGATAAGTAGGCATTCCCATGGCCATCTCCACTGGCTTTCAAAATGAAAAAACCCACATGGCCCTCCCACCTACCACATTCCCTAAGAGGTAAGAAAATCTCAGGGTGCTTCAGCGCCAGGATACAAGTTATAAAATAGCAGTTGTCACAGGCAATAGTAATGAATCGAACTCATGACCCCACTTCTCCCAACTGAATGGCAGTATCACTTTTAGGGATCTGACATGCTGCCTTCCTTAGAAAAAAGAGACATCCACTGGAAAAAAATAGAAAAGAAACTAATTATAGTATGTTAGCAAGGTTTGTTAGGGTATTGGGAGTGGAATTTTTTCAGTAATATAGGAGCCCTAATATGATGCTTAGCTACCCATTCTTTTTGTGATGAGGGTCAATGTTTCCAAGCAACTAAGTATTGGGTTTTCCCTCTGTGGATCCTAGAGTCAAGGATTTCCTTGATTTCAAAGTATTGTTCATCTTCTATCATGATGTGAATAGGTGGTATAGATACAGGTGGTCAGAGGGGTGATATTATCTCTCATTTGAGTAAGGTAGTACGAAATACTGGGTGGACTTGCTTGAGTGTTTTTGTAAGGAGTAGTTCTACTGTCACTGGATTGATGATCCTAATGATAGGGAAAGGTCCAATGAACTTTGGGCCTAATTTCTTTGATGGTTGTAAGGATTGCAAATGGGGCAGTTAGCTACATAGCTCTATGTCCTTTTTTTAGTGATGGCCACCAAAATTGTCTTTTAATTAGGTGTAAAGTTTTCACAAATCCAGCTAATTTGAAGTTGTGGCACCTTGCCATTAAACACAGTCTTTGGCTAGCTGGAACATACAACTTCCCTCCCACCCAAGCTAAGTCATCTTTCATCAAATTTGTGGCTCAAAAACAATCCATCGGTGGCCAATGCTTGTTTAAAAGTTGGAGTGGTGTCATTATCCATCAACATTTCCTGTTTTGCCTAGGATCTGGTGATTACTTTAGCGGCCAGTTGATTGTTTTGTACAATGGGCTTGATTACATCTAGTTTCGCACTATTATATTGCGATTTCGGGATAGTGCATCTGCCAGAATCCCCCCCCCCCCGCGGGAGATATTCAAGAGTAAAATCAAATTGTTTAAAGTATTGAGCCCATCATACTTGTTTTGGAGAGAGTTTCCTTGGAGTCTTAGATTTTTGTGATCAGTCCAGACTTCAAAAGGGATTTTACTTCCCTCTAGGAAATGCTTCCAGGTTAAAAGCACCCACCAAAATGCATAAGCCTCTTTCCCCAAATAGCCCACCTTTGCTCAGTCTCATTCAACTTTTTGGATGTGTAAGTGCATGGTGTAATTGGTCCTGCTCTTTTTTCTGAAGTAGGACTACCCCTACTGTCACATCACTGGCATCCGCTTGTATGATGAATGGTTTCTCTGTGTCCAGGTGCTTTAGAATTGGCTCTGCTGAGAACAGCCTTTTAAGTTTTTCAAATGCTGCTTGGCATTCCATTGTCCAGTTCAAAGGCTGTTTTGGTTTTGAGTTGCCCTCCCCCTTCATTTTTAAGACATTGGTAATGGGGAGGGCAATCTGAGTGTAAGCAGGGATAAACCGTTGATAAAAATTGGTGAATCCCAGGAAGCTTTCTAACTGCTTACGCATGAGGGGTGGGTTCCCTATCAAGTACAGCCTGCACTTTTTGAGGGTCCATTCCTATGCCCTGGTGTGAAACATGATACCCCAAATAATCATTTTTTTCTTGGTGAAATTCACATTTAGAGAGATAAGCATAAAGCTTGGCAGAGCAGAGTTTGTTTAAAACAGCCTGGACTAGTTTTACATGTTCTGCTTTGGTCTTGATAGATATTAAAATGTTGCTCAGGTAACCAGGATTCCCTTATACAAATGCTCATGTAGCACTTTATTAATTGCTAATTGCTTAATTAATTGCATAAACACCAAAGGGGGCCCCTGTAGCCCAAATGGGAGCACTTTGAATTGGTAGCACCCAATTCAAATGCCATTTTCCACTTGCCCCCCTCCCTAATTCTGATTCGGTAGTAAGCCTCCCTTAAGTCCAGATTTGATAAAATGTTTGCTTTAGCGAGGTGTGCTAGCATATCTTTCATAAGGGGGAGAGGGTACATGTTGTCCACACTGATTGTATTTAAATTTCTAAAATCCATGCAGAGACATTTTAAACCATCTTTTCTCTCTCTAAATAACACTGGGGCTGCAATTTTTAGTTGGGCTGGCTTGATGAAACCCCTTGCTAAGTTTTTCTCAATGAATGCCCTCAGTTCTTCCAGCTCTCTCAGGGACATGGTATACATCTTGGGTTTAGGGAGTTTGGTGCTGGGTAGGATTTCTATTGCACAGTCGGTGGAGCAGTAGAGGGGGGAGCTCATCGGTGGCTTTTTTGCTAAAAACCTCAGCCAAATCCTTATATTCTTTGGGTATGCCCTGGTTTGGCATGGCATAACCAGGCATTGCTGTTCTCGGTGCTCTACCCCATCAGTTCTTTATGTGGATCCTTGGCAAAAAACATGTACATTTGAAATTTTATGGTGCCTTGCTTCCAATTAATTGTGGGGTTCCATTTTTTCAGTGATGCAAGGCCCAAGATTAGTGGCCACTTCATGCCAAGTGCCACTATAAATATAAGCATTTCTTTGTGGCTCCTGATGCCTATTTGTAGAGGTTCGGTGGCAAAAGAAGCTGGCTCCCCCCCTGCTACTGACCCATCTAGTTGGCAAAAAGTGATGGGGCTTTTCAGCTTTCTTACATTAATCCTCAATTTTCCTACCAGGGTTGGACTGATTAAACAGTGGGTGCACCCTGAGTTGAATAAAGTGGAGATTTTTATCTCCCTAACCTGGCTGGAGATAAATAGTCTTAAGGGAGGGTAAGCGGTTCAATTGGTTTGCTTACCAATCCTCTGGATTGCTTCCAAATGAGTTTGGTTCCTCCTGCTGAGATGCTGGAGTTTCCTCCCCAAAGTAGGGAGGGGATGGAAACTCTATGGTCTCCCTGCTCCTCAGGATGGTCTACTTCCACATGGGCCAGGTTTCCCCCCGATGGGCATTCTGGTTTCTGGACCGGTGTTCTGCAGCTTGGTGCCCCTCCTTTCCACAATTGAAACAGGCTGAGAGTTTCAGAGAAAATGTGGTTTGCAGTTTGAAGGGCTCCCTCTTCCATTGGGGTGGGTATTTCTTCCACACTCATCCTGCTCGGTACTGGTTTCTGGCCATATTGATCTCAACTTCTTCAGCAGTGAGATACCACTCATGTAGGTGATTTGGTGCACCCCAGGCCACACAGGCATTGTAGAGGTCATCACTCAGCCCATCCTTGAAACATCTTACCAGAATATCCTCTGGTCAGATCCCATGACACACAAGGTCTGGGAATTCTTCAGTATACTCTGCCACTGTCTGCCATCTCTGCTTCATGACTTTATAGCGGTCATGTGCTTTGCAAACTGTGAGGGGGTCCTCGAATTGCTGTTGCAGGGCCATCATGAAGTGGTCGAAGTTCTGCCATTCTGGTGCATCACCATCCATCTGGCAGTGGCTCCCTCCAGGGATAGGGTAACAACTTGCTCTCAGGATTCTTGGGTCTGGAAATCATGCCCATACTCCTGCATGTATGTGAGCATGTGTACCATAAAGAATCCCAATTGTTGTGGATCCCCATCAAATTTCACTCCAAGGGAAAGTTTTTCTTTCCAGTTGTGGGGCTTGGGGCTGGTTGGGAATGGGTCCCAGTGTGCACACTGCCCACTAGAAGGTTTCCTGGGCCCCTGGCTGATGTCCCTGTGCCATCCGCTTGATTGGTGGGTCCTGGAGGGGAACATGGCCCCCTTGGCATCATCCATGGCTACTGCCATTTCAGGGTCCCTTTGCTGCCATTCTGGCTCCCCTTGGATGTTGAGATTTTCCAAGTTTCCATCACCAACTGGGCTATATATCACTTCAGACGATCCTCTCTCCACAGTGCTTCAGTTAGTTCCTCCTGGTTAGAGAGGGCTTCTAGCTTCAATTTCCACCCCAGCCTTCAATTACTGTGGGTAAAGGTGATTTCTCTGGTTCTCATCCCAGTTGTCTTTCTTCCCAATGCCAATTGACCAGTGGGGCTTTTTGAGGTCCTCCAGGGTCACCTCATCCTCTCTGACAGTACAGGAAGCAGGCATCTGGCTGGGCAATAGTTAATATCTCCCCCCAGCACTCAGCTCCTCCCTGCTCACTGCTTTGCTCAGACATGATTTGCAGAGTTCCCTCAGTAGAGCAAAAACTGCTTCTCCAGGTTGACCGTTTTGCAGAAGTTATTTTATGTAAGGATTGCCTCTGCTCCTAAGTTAAGAAAGTGAAGACTCTTGAAAAGAGGTATTTCAAAAGGAAATACTTTTATTAATCAGAAGTGACAGCAATACATTCAAAGCAGCGCCTGAATACCCTTAGGCAAGACAAGTAGAATTAAAGCAGTAGAGACCCCTCCCTTTAGCCAGGTGTGAATTCAGTCAATCCACAAGTGTGAAGATGTTATTGTACCAGCCTCTCTGAGAAATAGATAAGCAGTGGAGGTAGTATTCAGCAGGTTCTGACCAGTTCTGGAGAACTGGTAGCAGAAATTTTGATTAGTTTAGAGAACCAGCAAATACCATCTCTGACTGGTGATTTTACAGTATCCTTCCTCTGCCAAACCCACCAAGCCATGCTGTAGTAAAAAAAATTGTAGTAAAATTTTTTGAATCCCACCACTGATAAGCAGGCATTCCCATGGCGATCTCCACTGGCTTCAATGTTGTATTAACCATTGAGCAGACCAAGCACGTGCTCAGGGCACCAGGGCCAAAGAGGGCACCACAAAGTTGAGAATATGGCTTGATTTGTACAGTATGCACAAACAGTATGTAAGAGTACAGTATGTAAGATTTGTCAGTGCTTAGGGCACCAGAGAGCCTTAATCTTCCACTGGCTGGCTTTCAAAATGAAACAACCCATATGGCCTTCCCCCCTACTACATTCCCCAAGAGGTGTTATTTTCATGACACAGCACACTGTCCTATAATATAAGTGATTTAGCTTAGGTTGCTGTGCCAATCCAGCCCATAATTGACAAAAATAAATAAATAAAATAAATGCCTAGTTTCTGACACACTCTATTGTCTGAGCCCAGAAAACTGATTGCATTAGATAAAGATTCAAATTACACAGGAGCTTGCTCTTTCAGAGACCATTGTTTGTGAACTGTCCTTAAATACCACTATCCGCT